AACTGCAATGGTGAGGAATGGGGCTATTTCATATGCTCTGTTTTTCTAGATTTGGGTTTGGGGTTTTTTTGTCTCCTGCAGAAGGAGGTGGTGGTGGGGTTGCATCTGTAAGATGGATGCCAGGCTACCATCTGTGTTTTGAGAAATGTTTTGTATAGTTTTTTGCTGTTGCATCTTGGCTGTAACAAATAAACAGCCTCTTGCTGGTCACAGGTGATGATGAAAATAGACACACCCAGTTTTCACTGTGACTTAAGAAATACAGCCAGCATGGAAGAATGCATGTAACATACATAGAAAGTCATCCTGAACCTGGATTTATTGTTACTGCCACAGAATCTGTCACCTTCAGCAGCTGATGTTAACTGTAGGGAAAGGAAAATGACGCCCTATTGTTATATTACATTGTCTCTTCTAGGCTGGAAAAACAGACAGAAAAGAATTTGTGAAAAAGAAAACAAGAATTAACCCATTTGCCAGCTCTTCCAACAAAGAAAAGAAAAAGCACAAGAACTTCATGATGATGAGATATAGCCATAGTGTCCGGACAAAAAATAAGCGTTCTTTCAGGGAAAAACAGGTAATATTTAATGTTGAAAATAGATGGGGCAGTCTGAGCAGTAGAGATATAATGCAGGTGAAGTGCTGTCTATCCTGTGCCCCAAGTTGTTGCTGTTCACTTTGATGATTTAGTGGCTGGAAAGGACTGTGGGCTAGGTGGCTTCCCTTGAATCCTACCCCAGAGGAGGTATATCAGAGATCGTGGTGGTGAAGAATACTTTTGTTGGTCTCCTTAATATGCATCAAGGACCAAGCCCTGTTGCAAAGTCATGTGTAGGTTAGGAAGGCAATGATTATGTGGTTTGTTTTCCTTTATATAAATTAAAGATCATATTAGGTTTCTGCCTATAATCCTGTGATAGAAGAAGTGTTTCCTTGACATGGAGGAGCTGTTTTTCATGACAAGCTCTTAGTGTGTTTCTTCACTCTCCATATTCCTTCTTTGACCTTTCTCCTGTTACTGTCATATTATGGACTTGTCTGTCCTGCCCTTGATGTCACCTAATAGCTTGTCACAAATGTACTTAAAGCACAGACATAAATGCTATTTATTACCTATTTGAAACTGTTTAGGGAAAAAAAAAAATTGCTTCAGTTTAGCCTGTGACAGTAGTTTCACAATACGCTGCTCTCAGCGGTGAAGCCCCTGCCTTCTGCGCTTCCTCAGCTATAAGCTTGGCCACAGCCCTCATGAAAGGGTATACAAGCTACAAACATGTATTTGGCAGTCCAGTTACTGTGTGTTCCTGCAGGCAGCTGTGCCAAGGGTAGCTGAAGGGATATCTAAAAGGCAAGGCAGAAGATTCAGGGCACGACTTGGTTCCTGAAGGCGTTGGGCAGGGAGCCCATGTGGCTCCCCCAGGTGACTGGGGTTAGATGAGCTGGCAAGAATGGAGTGTGGACAGGGAGCCCCCCTGCTCCTGTGATAAACCTCAGCTGGGGATAATCACTGAGCTGTGTGTGGCAGCTGTTGCCAGAGCATTGGTGTAGGCATATTGCCTTGCTTTGCTGTATTTCACCTTGGCAGGGTAGGTCTGTGCTAACAACAAAAATCTGCCTTAAAACCCTTTTATCTAACCTAGCAGATGGCCAGTCTAGGGCTTTACAGGGTGTTATAAAGTTGAATCCCTCTGAACATGTTCCAAGAAAAACTTTTAGAATAATGCAATTATGTAGGGGTCTTGTTTTTGTGTGGTGTAAATTTTTGTGTTTTCTTGCTAGGCTCTGTCTTGTGCTAGAGTGCACTCGCATGCTTCTTTTACAAACCCTCCCTTGTGAGTTGCTTCCAGGATCATATCATTAGTATAATGTATATTTGTCTGTGATTTGTTGCCTTAAAAGCAGCAAGACTGAAACTGTTTATAGATTCAATAGAGAGAACATGTCTTAAGTGTTTCTGTTAAATAGGAAGACTTGGACTTAACATTTTCTGTAGTTTTTTACTTGCTATCATTCTGCCTCACACCAAATAAGGCTGACCACATCAACCCAGCTCTCAAGACACACAAAAAATGTTGCAAACAAACAATCCAGGCACTTCTAGGAAACTGCTGTTTACAATGATTCTTATATTTGCCTCACTTTTTAGAAAAAGCTGTCTTGAATGGTTTCAGTCTTTATTCCCGATTAATGTTTCAACTCTAAATGTACCAGCTAAAAAGTGAAAGAAGAATTTTTTTCATATGTTTTTCACTAAAGTTATGCCACAGCATCAGTTCTGTTGACCATCATTTGGAAATAACTGGTAAAAGTGAGTTGGAGTACTGTAGTTGGAGGATACTCTGTTCTGCTGCCCTCTTTGGTGGTGGAATAAAATGGACTTGTCTATAGTCCAGAACTAGATCCCCTTACCAACTAAAACATGTCTGAAATAAACAACAAAATCTCTTTAGAGTGATTTGGCACTTGTAAAAATTCCAGCATCCCTTCTTCCCCCCTTGAAAAGAAGCTCTGTAATACTCTTTCAAATAATGCCATTTAATCCTATGTACCTCAAAGCTGGACTGAAGAAATTGAAGGGGGTTGTTAATGTGATAATGTTGTTGTCTCTTTAATATTCTTCTTACCTGAATACTGCACTCTTCTTTCATACTTAGCTGGCTCTTCGAGATGCACTTCTGAAAAAGAGAAGACGGCTGCTGAAATAACGAAACAGTAATGGAGAGAAATGATCACCTTTGAAGAAATAGCCCTAGAAATGCTTATTTCCACCCACCACTATCCTGAAGGAAAACAGGGACTGAAATGCCTTATGGATTTATCTCTATTCTGTTCAGAATTACACATTGAACACTTCCAAGCTGTTGGATATTGCATCTATAGGACAGACAGAAGACACCTTAATCCTTGTAGGATTTTGATTTTTTTATTTTTCTTAAACATTCTAGGGTAGCAGGCAATTATCTTTTCTTGAGTATAACTTACAGCTGGTTTTGTATGTGTAAGTTTTAAAACATAAAACCTTATTGTAAAAATATTTTACTTGAAGCAATTCCAGAATAGGTAATTGGAAAGAAAAAGAATATTCCGGCTCAGTCTATAAAGTATGTGTATATAACATCTGTGCCTGTCTTATGGATGTGTTTTTACAGACTGAGTAAGCCATTTCCTAAGTGGCTGTTTTCTACCTGTTTAATAATGATAAAACCAAATCCTTGTAATACAGGTAAGTTCAAGTGAACAGTTATGGGGAAGAACAGTTTCATTATAATTTATGAAGAAAAGAATAAAATTAATATATGGGAGATGGTTTTCATCTTGCAATTTAAATAGAAAGGTAGTATCGCATGCAGGAGAACTAAGGAATCTTTTCTATATCAGTGTGTCTTGTGGTAGGACTTGCTGGTGTCTGGTTTGTGAAGTATATATGAGAATAACATGCATCTGTGGCTTCCTTACTTCAAAGGCTGAACTTTTGCATCAGCCTTGACCTCTGCTGGGCCCATCAATGGGTTCTTTGTTCCTTACCCAGCCATCTGTTTTAATGGAAACATGGAGGAGCTGTTCATAATCACCCTTTGTCAAATTTTGTTTGAAAGGGATTTTCTTGTGGGGCAGAAACAGGTGCCACACGCACAGTACAATGGAAAAGCCGTTGGTGGGGTGTTTTTTCCTTTCTTCTTAGGAAACCAGCTTAATGTTTATATTCTACATGGGAATTCACTCAGCTTAGGTATGTTTGTTATGTTGAATACACAATTGTATTCACTTTAATTATGATTATTTTTCTTGTTTGTGGGGGTGTTCTTTGTTTGTTTTGTTGTCATATCTTGCTTCCTAAAGCAAAAAAAGCATATAGAGGCTTCAGGCACATAGGAGATGAGAACAAAGTAGAAGCTTTCTACACCTTTGAATGTTAAATTCAAATTTAGCGCTTCCTAGAGGGAGGGGCAGGGATTGCTACTTGGGAACTATAGCAATGAACTGGCCTCGGGGAAGATGTGTAGCTGAGAGTTGGAGAGGTGAATGGATGCAGAGTGTGGGGATGGAGTGTGGAGCACGGTTGCAGTGACTATAGTAAGGAGGAGATGGGGATTACAAAACATGCTTATATAAAACCCCCTTTCCCCATTTCCTTTTTTTCCCTGAACAACTGTGCCCAGTTTCCTTTTTATGTGCATGTGTCCCAAAACTAAGGACTTCTGAGGCTGAAAGGGAGAGGCAATTATTTTTTTTTATCCTCTGAGTTTAGAACGAGTGTATTGTCTCCTGTTGTCCCTTTTCCCTCTGGTTTCCAGGCTTGCGGTGGGGTCCAGCAAGCAGTGAGCTATACCCAGCTGCTGCCAAGTGTGTGGCTGTCTCCTCTCCCCTACTTTTAAAAATGAGAGTGTTGGACTGCCTGTTCTCGACGATTTGACAAACAGAAGCACCGGGGAAACGAAACATAGGCGTTCACCGCTGGTTTAAACCTCTTTGGTTGCGTTTTCATCGCGCTCTGCCATCACGTCCTACGTCCGGTCACCCCCGAGCTGACGGCTGGAGGGGTTGGCCGCCGTGGGCGGTGCTGTGGGCGGGCTCCGCGGCTATGGCCGCGGAAGGAGGGGCCGTGAGGGGATGCCGGCCGTTCGGCGTGGCGGGGGGAAGAAGCGGTGCGGCGGGAGACCGGCGGCGCGGCTGCCGCCCGCAGTTCGCTGTCTGTGAGGCGCCGCGCCGCCATTTGCCGAGGGGCAGGGTCGAGGGCGACCGTTACGCCTGGCGGGGGCCGCCGCGGGAGGAGGGCGGTCCCCGCCCTCCGCGCCTTGGGCCGCCGCCATGTCCCGGCCCCCTTCTCCTTGGGCCGCCCCTGGCCGGCGGGGGGTGGTCCCTGCCGCTGAGGGGAGAGGGCTGCGGCCGGGCTGCCCGGCAGTGGCCGCGTCCAGCGCCATGGGGCGGGCAGCGGCGCGGGGGTGCCGGCTGTGGGGGCTGCTGCTGGTGTTGCCGCTGTGGGAGGCGGTGGCGGCGGCCCCGGCTCGTCCCGCGGCGGCCCCGCTGTTGTGTAACGTGAGCCTGGACAGCCCCGCCGAGGAGCGGTGGCTGCCGGTGCTGCGGCACTTCGATCCCGCTTTCCTGCGAGCCGCCGTCGCACGGGTCATCGAGTGAGTGTGGGGCGGCGGTGGGGCCTGGCGGTCGCCCCCTCCTCGGGGACGGGGAAGGCCGGGGCGGGGGGTGCGTGTGTGTGAAATGGCCGCGGCCGGGGTGGAGGGAGCAGCGCCGTGCCCGCCGGACCTTCCTCCCCGGTAGAACGGCGTGAGGGGCAGCCCCGGTCCCCGCCGCTCCTCCCGCGGCCGTGCCGGGAGCGGGCCAGGGACCGCTTCTCCCTTCGCCCCAGCGCCGCGGAGCCCTTGTCGTCGTCGTCCCCCTTCCCTCCCCGCCAGACTCGCTGCTGCGGGACCTGGACAGGTTGGGCGAAGTGATGCTGCACGGCTGCTGAACTTCTCTGAACTCAAAAATTCAGGGTTTTGAGTCTTAACTCACTACTACTGCATTGTGCGTACACTTAGGAACCTGGCAGATGGACTCGGGAAGATCCCTGGTGGCAATAAAAAAATCTCACAAGTAGGAAGCCTGCACCAAACGTTTAGCTCGGGTTGGGCGCAGGCTTCATGGGGAACGTGCAGAAGGTGATGAGATTTGGTGACTGATGGGATGCAGGGATGTCTGATAACAGGCAGAGGCTGCTAATGGAGGATCAGCATCAACTGGGACAGGCAGATCAGAGAAGTAGTAGGTTTCTTGAGTATCTGATTGCCAGGCATAAGTTGCAAACCTTTATGTCTCTTTCTCAGCTAATGCCTTGAATGTATTTTGCAGTGAAAGCGTACCAAAATGGGTCCATGAAGTTATTCGGCTGATAGCAGCAGAATTGGAGTTCTTTATGCCGCAGCCCTTTGTGGGGGAAATTCTGGGAATGTGCAAAGCACTGGGAATAAGTCTTGGGGATGGTGTCCTGCTTAATTTCGCCTATGAATCTACTGCGTAAGTGTCTGGTACTTACAGAATTTGGTAGAAACGGATGTCGAGATTCATTTTAGTTCAGCGTGGGAGAATGCACAAAAAGGCAGCTGAAGGCACGTGGCAGGTGATTTGCACTGTTCATTCTCGTAGTTTCATGTGTTCAGCTGGAAGGTTTCATTGTCATTAGGCAGTTTGTATCCTGAATTGAATGAGAAATACAGAACAGTATTTTTATTTGTTAATAAAGGTAATGTGTAGCTGTAATGTTTTTGTGTATGTATATCTGTATAAATGTATAAAAGTATGAAAAAAATTTCTGATAAAAAGGAAGGGCCACCCATTCAAAGTATTTGGGTTCATTTATTTTCGAAGATCATGAAACGTACTCTTTTGTTGTTTAAATTGTCGTACGTCACCAAAAAGGAGACTAGAAGAATTAGGTGCAATCTAATTATTTTAACTGTTCATCTGAGATAAAATTGTTTCCAAACCATTTTCTGGGTGAATGTTCACAGTGACTGTATAATGCAGTTTTTTGATTTGTGCAGTGGAAAATGGATGTAGTATCTTCATGATAGCAAACAAAACCTCAGTGGGAAAAAATACTCTATTTCATTGTCTTTTTTTTTTGCTCTAGAAGCATGTGCAGGAGAATAATAAACGTTTGGTGTTGCTTGTGAGGATCCTAAAAATATTTCTTTGTATAGGTTTTAATAAAAAACAGGTGCATACAGCCCATACAGCTGCTTGTATGTGTTTGGATTATTATTTTGAACAGATGCATACAGTTGCTTGTACGTATTTTGGTTATTATTTTTCTTAACATGTGGTTTTTGGTTTAAGTGATTTTTTTTTTTTTTAAATAAGGATTAATATTGGATAAGATAGTAATTTAAACGCTAGCTTGCTTAGTAGTTCACAGAAGACACCATTCTTAGCCCTGGTCAGGCCCATGAATTTTTAAGTTTTTCACCTCTAAAAGATACTAAAGAAAAAACATCAACTGGGAACAAACTACTTGTCTGTAAAAATTTTTTAACTTTACGCTTTTGAAAGACAGTGCTATGCATCACTGGAGTGACAAACTCATAGCTCCAGAGAGAATAAAGTTTTAATTCCCTGCTAATTCAATACACTTCATAAAAAAGCCTGTTTCAACAAAAGTGAAATTATTATTAAAAAAGTAATTTCAGCACACTTCCTGTTCTAGAGAAGAGGTTAGACTATTATTGAAATGGCTGATGCTTTAACAACAACTGATGCTTTCAGTTTGAAAGGACTTTGTTTGAACTTTTTATCTAGTTGCAATTAAGAATATAAACGGGGTCCAAATTGAAATGAAATAATCTGTAATAGTCAAAATGAAATCCAGAAAGTTTCAGAGTGATACTTTGAGGACATTTTTAGATGTCAGCTTTTCATCTCGATTTAGAAGTAAAATGAAATAATGAAATTTTGCCCAAGTGGAAGTGCTGCTTTCTACCTGGTCTGTAATATCTGTCCTAATGTGGACAGCAGTGCAGCTTTTGCCTTTCTGAGCCAGGTGGGACCTGATAAGTATTGTACAGTTTTGTATGTTAGACTCTCTGGGAAAGGACTTTTGCCTTATGGATATCGTGCATAAGTCATATAGGACGTTGTAGTGGTGTGTAGTTACGCAGAGCTTCAGTCAAACCATCCTGTTGTCGTTGTGTCCTCCCCCCCCCTTTTTTTTTTTAACCAATTTGACATTAAAACCTGTAAGAAATTTTATCAAAAAGCACAGGATGAGACTATTGTCTCAGGTTAGGAAGCATAAGTGTTAACGATACAATGCAAAATCCTATTTGTATGCTTACATTAGCAAAATACTTGCAGAAGATAAAATCAGTTATTCCTGAAACGTTGAGCTAGTTCAACTATAATACTGAAAGTGTTGTTATAGCTTTTTCTTAAATCATTCTTTCTCTTTGTTGTTTTTGAAGGTTCTGTACTAGTATTGTCGCTCAGGATGACAAGGGAAACATCTACCACGGTCGGAACTTGGATTACGATTTTGTGGATATATTAAGCAAGATTACAATTGATGTACGGTTTATAAAAAGTGGGCAGGTATGATCTGTGGCTGACATGGCTGGGTGGTATTCCGTGAAGGATTGGGGGGTATGGTTGTACAGCTGCGTAGGCAGTGGGATTTAATGTAGGAATGCGCTCCCATCCCAAGTTTACTGGATTATTAGAGCGCCACAGTCACTCTAGTAATGTGGGATGAATGCTGGTTTTCTTTGTTTTCTGGACATCCAGTTTGTGGTGATAACTGGAACAAATAGAACTGTATAATCTAGTATATCAAGATAGTTATTTGGAAGGAGATGTTGATAGAAGGAAATGTCATGATACTGAAAAAGAAGAGAAGTACTAGAGAAAAGAGATCCGTTTTGGCAGGGGCCGATTCTAAGGCTTTTTTTCAAAGGCCTTGTTAATTTTCATGGCTGACGGTGTATTTTAGATGAAAATTCCCAGAAATGAACTAGTTGCTACTGTAGCCCTCATTAGTGTGGTTTTCTTAATATTCATAAGTCTGTTTTGCAGATGGAGAACTTTTTGTTTGTTTCTTGCTTGGCTACTTGCTAACTTGAGCAAAACTTTTATAGCAGTTAGTGATTGTTAACAAATGAAATGCAGTGAATTTTGGTCCCCAGAGTCATTTTAATTTACTTTGCAAGTTTAATTTAAGGCAAAGTGTTTTATAGCAACTTATGTATGAAAGTCACAGAAAAAAGTACAGGGTGCTGCTTCAGAATGTTGCCTATATTTTTAGTAGTGTTCTGTTCCAGAATGCTAAAGTACTGCATGTTTCCTGGTTTCAGATAGCATATCAAGGCACCACGTTTCTTGGTTATGTAGGCTTATGGACTGGACAAAGTCCACACAAGTTCACAATCTCCGGTGATGAACGAGGTAAAATAAATCTGTCTTCCACGCTTGACGATATGCACACTATTTCAGTCGATTGTTGCCTGCTCTGGCCCTTCTCTCACATGCTCCCAGAGGGAAAAATACACTCCAGGTTGCCAGGAAGGAGCTGAAATTGAATGACTTCTCTGGCCCTCAGGGAGCGAAAGCACACATACTGCCAGTTTTTGGCTGCCGCATAGGAGAGAGGCATTTGTTTGTCAGCACAGCGTCATCTGAGCTTGAGAAGTGTCAAAGGAGGCAGAGAACCTTGGCGAAAGCTGTAAGAGACAAAGTAATGTGGTCTGTTCAAGAGACACAATTGGAGACAGCAGAGTATGGGTTAAGAGAAAAACATGCAGTCATGTATAGCAAAAAAACGGCTGCTTTCCTAGTTCTCTGTCCCTTCCTCTGTGTTCCATATTTCTCTGTCCCCATAAAGCAGCTTTACAGAGAGGATGGGAAGAGAAGCAAAAAATGAGAGATCTAGAGGAAAGGCAGTAGGACTTGAAAGAATGCATGGAGATACTGGAATGGCAGCTGAGCGAAGATCTGGTAGTAGAGGAAAGTTGAGAGATGTCACTATGAGAACTGAAACTGGACAATAGAATGGCTGGTAACAGTCAGGAAGGTGGAGGAAGGGTCACTGCCTTTTCCATCAGGGCTTGAGTTTCATAAATATCGATAGGTATGTCCAACTCAGAGCTTGGGTTTGCCTCTTCCATCCCTTCCCCCACTCTTTTTTCTTTTATTTTTATTTTTTTAAGCAGCAGACACTTTTTGCTTGTGTTTATTAGCTGTTTGTTAGAACTGGAAACAATGTAGTCTGAGTTAGAACCAACATCTAAAATAAATGTTTATTTTTCATTTGTGATTGTGGTAAGCAAGTTTTCTTTTTAATCTTTTAATTAGACAGTCTTCTGCTTTCAAAATTTTTCTTAGATGTTATACAGACACTATTCACTGTATAAATTATATACATATTCATTATCTCTTGTGAGGAGGGATTCTGCTATGGAGCACCTGCACCTTCTGATTCCTCTTTCCTTTGTTAATACTGCCTTGTTGCATTTGCTAGATTTTTTTTCCATAGTTTACACTCATGTATTTTTAAGAGCCTGCTTCTGATGCTATTGTAGTTATTTAATCCTTTCAAAACTGGAGTGTCCTGGGCTGATACCAAGAGATGCAAACTGCTTTTAGTTCATACTAACATCAGCTTGGAAATGAAGTCTTAAGTGTATCGAGTCTGCAAAAGGCTTGATTTAGAAAATCTTGCTGACCAAGTCCTACGTACGTCTGTGAACCAGACACAATTTGGGGACATAACCAGTGCCGTCCTGTTCTCCCTGCTGCTTCTCAGCAGTGTGCTTCAACCCTCAGTGTAAGGATCATCTGAGACAAGGGTGAGGTGGTTTAGTCCCTGCACAAACCCATTCTGTTCTCCCGATTCTGATAAGAGGATCCAAGTACTGCACACTTTTGTGTGTGACGGGCTCCTTTTGTCCATCAGGAGTTGATGTGCCGTCATCCACCTGTGTGTCTCAACTTCAGTCACTTTTTAACTAGAGAGAATAGTGATTCACTCAACACGTGCTGCGCTCCTGTAAATTAGTTGTTGCTGACTGCTTGCTGCTTTATCTGTCACCATACAACTGAGCTAAAAATTTGGGGAAATCAGCATGTGAACTATGGCTGGAAAGGGGGATGACTTTAAATGAGGGTGGAGGTCTATCAAGTGACAAGCATATGGTTTCTGCTGGCTTTTTTGGTGTTGCATATGAATAATTTTAAACTTGACCTTCTGTTTTTCTTGGTTCTCCTAATTTTCTCCAGTGACACAGAAACACCATCACTACCTCTTTTTTAGCTGTTTCGTGATCTCTGTGTAATTCTTCCTGTTGTAGTATTTCAGTAAGGTGAATAATGAGGTGATTAATGCAAATATTTGAGCTGACAGCTGTAGAATATTATATCATATGAATAGATCTCCATTCCTTTTGGAAATATGTGTTACAAAGTGCTAGTCCCCGTTACAGTTACCTTTGACTCTTCATTGCTTATCATTCAGCTATGAATAGAAACGGTTTAAAAACTGAGCAGCTAGGAAGTTATCTAGATTATTACTGAGAGAAATGTGATAGTTTTTGATTGAAATTGCTAGCGCTGGCAAGTTGTGAGAGATACTGTGTGTTTTCTGTACAGTGCTGAACACTGTCGTCTTTATTGTCCACTGTACCTCAGACTCCCTACCATTTTATGGCATCCTCTTCTGGCACTGGTCACAGGAACATTGTACCTTTCAGAAGACACCTAAAAGCTAAGATAATGATCGCTCCTGTCATTACAGGTCTGAGATGCTTTCTGGAAAGCAGGGGTGTTAATCCAGCTGCCATGGTCAAACTTTGGTTGGGATTATGTTGTCTATGTATTTCGCCTGGAGTTTCACCTGGTTGTTGTGCTCTTTTTTAGCCCTTCTTCTGAAATGGTGACATTTTATGCTGATAGGTAGCTGCCCTGTTTCACTGAGAATTTAGCTTTCTGTGGTACTTCAATATCCAAGTCTAATGATGCAGAAAGCTGAGCATTTGAAAGACAAATGTTGTAAAACGAGGGCTTGCCAGGGTACGTTAGCCTGATTATGCAGCTCATCCTGCATATTTTACGTATAGATATCAGTAAAGTAATACCGTAGATAAGGAGCACTGTCACCATTCAGTGTTCTAAACAGTGTTGATAAGCTCAACACGGTACAGAGGCTCTGAGTGCTTTCAGGTGGCGTGTGCTTTGTCAGTTCAGTATAAGCTGCCTAAGTTTGATGTTTTTATGATAGTGGTATAGTTAGAAAATTAAAGAATTTATTGCACCACTCTTTTGTAATGCAGTAGAGGGAAAGATTGCAGAGCTAGAGATGGGATGTGGAGAAGAAAGGAAGGCAGGAGGATAGATTTCACAGAACGTACGTAACATGCATGTATAGTAATTTCTTTTTTTTTTTTCCAAGCGGGTGGTAGATGGTGGGAAAATGCAATAGCAGCTTTTCTGAATCGGAATTACCCTGTCAGCTGGCTTGTCAGAGACGTAAGTGCACCGAGTTATTGTCTCGTATTTCACAGTGATGTCATTTTTACTTACAAACTCTTAGTAAATTTGATGTTCCAACTTGTAGTTTCACAGAAAATTCAATAAATTGATAAGTAAATGTATTTCATAAGAGTAGATAGGTATTGTCCCCAAATGATGTGATGTGCATGAGAGGCAATTCCAGTCTTTCGAGGGGGCAATCTCTAATCAATGTCAAAAGTCTTTGGGAAGCTGTGCAAAGACTTCCTTCCTAGGGACTATTTCAGCAAGCTATGGTATGTAAATTAAGAAATTCAGGTAGCTGCACTCTTAGATGGTTAGTATCTGACCCAGTGGTTATTTTACACTCTGTTTGGTAGGTTACCATATTAAAAATGCAGAGCTCACTGGTGAGCAGAAGGAGTTAGAATGGTATTTTGTATGACACATTTTATGAATATTGTGTTAGGGTGCTACTAAGATAAAACAGGTCTGCTGCTTCTCAGATTCTCGAATTACAGTAAACATCAATGGTATGGTTTGCAAGTAAACTCAATGCAGAACTGGAATGTCTACTGGAGACTTTGTTGTTCATATTTTTTGAGTTTGAGATGTAACTACTAGCTGCAGTGTTGCTGTCAGAAATAATTAATTCTTCTCCAGGGCTTTACTGTCTTTCTGAACAATTTTGTCTGATGCTTGTTCTCCACATTTGTTTTTAGTTCCTGCACAGCATTCATTTTTGAACATGTACTTCAGTAGATTGTGGCCCTATGCCTGAAAATAGTAGCTTCATTGGCTGCGGTGACTGTAAGATTATGCTAAGTTAGTCACCTGGTTATGGCAGGAGAAGTCAGGCTTGCTGTAAGAAATGCCCCTGCCTTATTCACCATTGTTACCTAACTCCTCTTAAACTACTGGCAAGACAAAGACATGGAGTGTTTGGGTTTTTTTCCCCTTTCATTCACTTTCATCTATCCCACTGTTCACATTGAAGGACTTTGCTGAGGATTGAATTTGCAGAGTATGGACATGCCTCTCTCTTTTGAATGGCAGATTTTTCAGCTTTTTTCACTTTATACCTTATACATATGTGTACATATCTGTGTGTCTATATGTGTATGTATATTTACTGTTTTCTCTGAATATTTCCAAAGCTGGGATTAATGAGTTCATTTACTAGTCATATGCATTTCATGTTCATATGCTAGTCAGTTTGGAAGACTATTTTCAGAGAAGTATTTTAAAGCAGCACTTTATAGTCAGTTGTCATTTTCAAAAAAGCCAGACCTTTTTAAGATGTTTTTGTGCTTGACCATGCTCTGTGATCTTTGTTTCACTGCAATCTCCTTTTTGCATTAGACCCTGAGCAGAGCAGAGGACTTTCAGTCAGCTGTTCTCAGACTAGCTGGCATCCCCATCATTGCTGAAGTTTACTATATTGTAGGAGGTGTATCACCCAAAGAAGGCATGGTCATAACGAGGAATAGAAGAGGGCCAGCAGATCTCTGGCCTCTCGATCCTTTAAGTGGAGCGTAAGTAGAAAAAAAATGTTTTGTTTTGTTTTTTCATATTCCCTCCTGAGCAATGGGCAGGGTTAGTGACACAACTTTCTTGAGAGATCCAGGGCATCTCTTACTAATGCTTACAACCAGACCAGGGAAAGCTTGAAAGCCTCTGAAAGGAACCCCAGTTCCTTCTCCTTGAGAAGAAATCACACCACTTTGTTCAGGTTGGGGCAGTCCAGAGAGTCAAGGGTGGAAAAAGCATCTGTATGTGTTTATTTTTTTAGCCAGATTTCAAAGGAGACAAGACTTCAGGAGTTTTCCTGTCTGTCTGCCAAGTATTGCACCGGTAAATTCAGCAATTCCGAATTAGTTTTGACCCAATGTGATAGAAGGGTTGAAGGCTCAAAAATAACTGTTCCTATCAATTCTGTGAAATCAGCAGCTTAATATATGAAGGATATCCTAAATCATTGCCCTGCGGTGAAAAATGGCACTTAATGCATACAGTCAGGCAGTAAGTACTGCCTTGGCAACAGCCAGATGGCCTCTTCGCTCTGTGTACTCCAAACTGAATGCTGCAGGCTGCATCGTACCATACCCATAATCTTTTCTCTGATCATCTCTTTAAAGGTCTGATCTTGCTTTTATTGTAGTCAGTAGTAGTTCTGTCACTGATGCCGGCAGGAGTTCAGAGGTCGCTCCTTTTTCATTTGTGTTCAGTGGTTCATGGTAAAGGCTGCTATGTGTATCAACATAGGGTCCCTTGGGCTTGCGAGAGTCATAGAAAAGAGGCTTCTGAGGGAGGTTTTTTCCTTTTGGCAATACAAAGATGCTGATTCTTGGCCTTTATTAATTAACTAATGATTCGCCTTTTGTTTGCTTTAATGTTTGTGTGTTGTGTTATAGGTGGTTTCGTGTGGAGACAAACTATGACCATTGGACTACCCCTCCTCCTTTTGACGATCGAAGGTAAATTTAGTTTGGAGCTCTGTGGTGAGCTAACACTTTGATTTTGAAAAAGCTGAGAGACTTGGGTGTTTTCTTCTCTGAGCAGGTGTTAGCTCGTTGAGCAGGCAGCTTGTTCAGTATCTGTAATGCCACTCAAAAGGGAACAGATCAGGTAAGGAGTGATACTCACATATGCCAGAGGAAAGTCTGTGTGGCATTGAATGGCATAAAAGATGAGAAATTGCAAGGATAAGGCAGGAACAAAAAATTTCTTTATAAAGCAAAGTTTAGTAAAAGTTAAAGGATTTAGATTGACAGTGAAAAAGTATTTGATGGTGCTCGGAAGGTGCTCGCAGACATCATACAATCTTTAGGCTGTGTAGTTTGCAAAAAGCTGTTGGCAGATTTCTTGTTGGTCTGTTCTCTATGGTGTATTAATAGAGCAGCTTCAGGAATGTGAGACTAGATTCAGTCACACAGAACTCTGGATTATTTTAGGCCAAAGCAAGCATTTCAATGTAATGGCATTTAGTGAGATATTTTTCACATTGGTACTTTGTAGCCTTTGGAACAGTAAAGTGTGTTTATTGATACTGCATTGTTTTCCTGCAGAACTGCAGCCATCAAAGCTCTCAATGCTACCGGACAGCAGAACATCAATTTTGATACGCTCTTTAAGGTATTTCTTTTGAATTCTGCATTGTGACTGTGATTTAAAGTTCTTTTTCAAAGCAGAAGTGCCGTTGCATTTTTGTCAGTGATTTAAAAGCTGTGCAAGGAAGGCATACTGAAAAAGGTGTGCTGCACCACCATCTCTGGAGAGCTTAAGACTTATAAGTTTGTTAAAATATTTCTGAACTCCCTTGCGTAGGCATTTCGTAATAGTCTGCCAATCCAAGTGGAAAGTGCTAGAGGTGAATCCCATCATCATCATCTTTGTGCAGTTCCTTATTTCAAGCACAATTATAAATATTACAGCAGGCAGATAAAAGTGTTAGACACGAGTGATATTTACCAGTTAGTTTTGAGAACTTACATGTTGCGTATTTCAGAGGGCTTTTTAAAAATACTTTTGTAAAAAGGTCTGATGCTTAAAAAAAAAAAAGGCAAGAGAAATCGTTGACTTTGCATTATTCCTTTTCATAACTTCATCCTACTGCTGTTTCTAAATAGCCTTTTAATTCCCTCTTCATTTACCAAAATGACGACTCTTCAAACTTTCTGTACAGGTGTTGTCAGTGAAGCCAGTCTTAAACAAGTAAGTATTAGATTTAGAGATGTTAATCAGTGCCTCCCGCCACGCCTCAGACCACTTAACAGTCAATCGCAAACTTCCTTAGGATCTTCCTGTGTGTCTATCTGAATATCTTGCGGTTTCCCAGCTTAGATTTCTGCTTGTGCACGTGGCACTCTGTTTTCACTTCCACAGCACTCTTCCTCTTTGGTCTGCCACTCTAGCCAAGAAACTACACTTTGTCAGGCTCAGTCTGGTAGTGGGAAGTTGCTTTGTAGTAGCGAAACAAATGACTGCTTAGAGGAGCAGCTGGACTTTCTGACAAGTCATTTGTGCCTTTCACTTTTGGAACCTTTGGATTTGTGTTAACACTGAAACTGGCTTTCTCTGGAGTTTCTGATGTAGCTCTGCTTGATGTGTAAAAAGGAGAAAAATAGTAAATGGGGACATAGTTTTTAGGTGCCATTTGCTGGATTTTTAAGAGAGATTAATTTCAGTATACCATTATTGTTGCACAGATTGCACCTTTGCAGGCTAGCTTGTTTTGTTTAACTTTTATGTGGAGCTCAGTCTATTCTCTAGATCAGTCATTTGCATTAGAGCTTGGCAATGGCTTCTTCAAAATTAGTACCAGGACTTCCTCTCCTCCGTCTTACCAATGTGAGACAAATTTGGAAAGAGAAGATTATATCTGTGTGACTGCTAAGATTACCGATGCTAATTTTTTAATACAGTGATCAAATGGATGTTGAAGTACAGTTCCTTTGCTGTACTAAGGCGGGGGGGGGGGAATGCTGCCATCAGCCTTCATTTTTATCAGTCTCTCCCACTTTTTCTCACCCTTCTGTACCTAAGCAGAACATGTGTTTCCACTAAAACTTGTTTTTCTGCTTTGCTAGTTTTATAAATTAATTGTCTTGCCTTTGGAATGTCACTCACTCACTTTTCCTCTTTCCCTACCAGTAACACAGTGTATACCACAGTAATGAGCGCTGCACTTCCAGATAAGTACCAGACATGGATCAGAACTGTGGAGTGAAGCAGTGTAAGTAGCGTGCCGGTACTCCTAGCTACTTGTACTCAAATAAAAATTTCAGCTGAAGAGTCATTGAGGGACAAAGCACTCCAGTGGCACTCAGGTGACCTAGTTGGAATTCCTGATTCTCCCCTTGGTTTGCTTATTGACCTTGGGTAAATACCTTCCGTTGTTGTTCCAGAGATAGAGTTAAGTATTGACTTTCTTTGCAAAACTCTTGGAGATTATCTTAGGAAAAGTGCTTTATCAGAGAGGAAGGGGTGGGTGTTGTTGAGACCTAAAGGTAGAGGTTCCTTCTGTGAACATTTTAGCTATTATTTTTACTAGTCCCACTTCTGCGATAACGTTTCACATGTCTCCAGGTGGTTGACTGTGACAGGAAGCCCCACCAGAGCGAACTGCATCCCAGCAGGACTGGGGGTTGGTGCACTTGGCACCAAGAAAGATCAAGCTGAATTTGCAACAGCCGCTCACAGGCGACTGAACATTAGCATCTGTTGAGGGTTTTGTCCTGTGAACTTGCAGAAAAAGTCAAAGTGCTTGAACATAAAAGATGCCTCAGGTGGTAGCTTTAGTGTGTTCAGAGAAAGATACTAAGTTATATTTACTTCTATTCCAAGAAACTCTGGTTGCATGGTCTCAGCAGGAGCACAAGCTGCATTCCAGTTTGAATAGGTTTTTAAACTCTTACTAGTGTTGTATTTGTAGCAGTTACAGTGGACATTTGATTTTAGCACGAGTAATTCCTTTCTTTTAGAGATTCTGAAGAGTTTGTTTGTTTCTTAGCTCCACACAAACCTGTGCTCTCTTATTTATCTATTTATCTATCTTTTTATTTCAACAGAGTGAATGAGTGAAAAGCTGAAGCTTTCCAAGACCGGCACATGCTTTTAAAATCAGTCTCACAAGCAGTAGAGTTGTTTTGGCTTATTAATTATGTGAACCACTCAGGAAATAATAACAACTTGTTTATTCTTTGAAATGTTGCAGATGCTACTGTTAATGAACTGTAATGGAAGTTTGATTTTTATTGTAATTATGTTGATGTTCTAGCAGATGTTGATGGCTAAAAATTGCTTTTACTGTTTTTGGAAAGAGCTGTGCAATTTGAATGTACTTATGTGCTGACTAATAAATAAGAATTTCATATATTTTGCATGACCTGTAGATCTGACTTAAGTAAATAAAAATATGCAGCTGATGGCTTGATTTATGAAGACCTGTGGTGTTATTCCTAATGTCATCATGCTTTTCCCTGATCTGTGAGGGTCTTGTGATCATGAGCAGGGTCAGATGCAGCAGTTAGCTGCGTGCATAGCTGTACACTACGGTGATTTTATTCATCAAAAATCAGGAGGTGTGATAATACAGACTTTTCCCCCAACAGATGGGAGAAGCTTGTGATGGGATAGCAGTGAGGTTAGAAAGGGGATGGTTTTCCTTTTCTATATTTTAAAGTTGTCTTCAATAGAAAGTTTACAACTAATTTCTATAGCGCTGAGGAGTGGGGTTTTTTGTTTGTCGGGTTGTGCTGTGACCGCATGTTGAATTCAGGCACTTCCTGGGAGCACCCCAGAAATACTGAAGGGTTTAACAAGTAGAGACCAGTGGATACCTTCACGTAAAGCTTAGAAGTCCCATTCTCCACTGGACAAACTTCCTGCTAATGCCAGTGAGAATTTTACCTGAGAGAAGAAGGTGTGATCAGAGTGTTAGGTCAGAGCACCACTTCCACATACGTGCAATGTCACCTCCAGTATTTGTGCACCAGTTATGCAAACCATTCCTGAGAGAGCTTTCTGGAGATGTGGGCCCTTTATCTCCTTGTGCTGAGTCTGGCTAAGTGTTAATAACCTACTTACCTGCATCCTCTACTACTGCCTGGATAAATGTGCTGCAAGCTTTGCCTTGACCCAGTTTGTACAATGATGTTAGCAGTCATATGCCGGAATGATAAATTTGAAAACCAGAGTGTTCCGGGAGGAAGATTTAAATAACAGCAATCACGATATCCTTGAGATTTCAGAATGACATTGCTTTAATTCACAGAGCAGGCACTGAATCCTGATCCCAGCAGGTTTTCTTTATGTAACAGCCACCCACAAGTAAAGACAAAAGCATCCTTACAGGTGTAACTTCGCATAGTCACCTTGACCTTGGCAGCGTTAGGCTGATTATCTTCTGGCAGTAGTGCACCCAGGCTCTCAGTGGTATATAAATTCAATCAAATGTATTTGTTTCCATGTGTACAAATGAATCTGGAGTGTATAAATACTTGGTATCCATAAATATTTGGGAAACAATTGTCTGCTCTTGTTGTTTTTGTGTCTTATCAGCTGTTCAGAACTTGCTCGGGCCCAACCACAGAGCAGATTATGGAAATGTAGGGTTTTCTGAGATTTAAGCAAGAAAGGGAACTAGATTTGAAGAAGTCTGATTTTATTTTGTTTTGCTTTTTTTCTTTTGAATTATTTTATTAAAGAAAACCTTGCATTTCATCCGTTTATAAATGTTCAGACAGCCTCATTGCCAACAAAATAAAGCCTTCATGCCAGCTTGAATACTTTTTTTGCTAACCAAAAGGATACATAACTTTATGGTCTTAGTTTAATGACAAGCTAAAATACAAACACTGAGAAAGTGGTAAATGACATGTCTTACAAACTAGATGATTTAACCTGTGAAATGTGTTGAGCTGCTTTTGTGTAAGAATTTGAAGTTGATAAAAATGTAGAGAGACAGGATTGTTAATACTTTAAATAAAACCATCTTAATAATGCTGGAAATATTAAAATGTTGCAGTGATTGTTTTAGGAGGGTTTGGGTGTTTTGTGGGATCTTGTTTGTTTTTTAAAAAAGGAGGGTAATTTGTAGTTACTTAAATTGCTTGCTGATCGTCCTTCTGTTTGAGATTTCATCTGCTTTGTGTGTCCACTTTTTAGAGACTGGGAAGTAAAATAGGTTTTTTGCTTTCTCAAGCCCAGTCAGATTCATGACTTAGAATTGTTAAGCAATTAAATAGAACTAAGTTAAATACATTATCGTTGCTTCTTCCATCCTTTTGTTTTTTGCAGTACAGATTCCCTAGCTACAAAGCCCAAAAGATTTTTCTGCCCAACATAGGGAGTGCGCGAAACCTTTAATTCTTTTTCCTCCAGAAGTTTGCATTTAGCAAAAGGCAACTTGAAAGTGTGTAAACACCGACTCTTAGCATGAGAGAGGCCAAGGTACTGTATTTCTCATTCATAATCCTCTTCAGTAATCCTAATCCATTTCAGATCTGTAGCCTTTCTTAACCATCACGTGGGAGAGGATTCTTAAGGCTGCTCAAAACAACTGTGCAGTAAATATATCGAAGGGTCTGCACTTGCTGCAGAGCAGCACACGCATTCTATACCGCAGGTGCCGAAAGACATGGCACTTTCTGCTGCATGCCCGAGGGAACAGCTTACTTGATTATTTAGATTCTGAGGAGGAGTTTCTGAATCTGTTATTGAGCAACTAACTTCAGAGATTATTGATCACTTTGGGTACTGAATAGAAACAAAAATTTAAGAAGTGGAGAGCTTCTGTTGTGTTTGTCTTAATAAATCCATGTTAGAAATCGGTGGCAAGGTAAGTTGCATTTTCCTTTTTATTTCTCTGTAGCAATGTGTTGTGTTCAGAAGTAATTACTCAGCACCCAGAGTTTGAGGTGAAATATCCTTTTTGTACGTCAAGCTGTATAAAACTGCAGTTGTGAGTTTTCTATGTGAAATTCTCCTTTTTGTCACTGCAGTAACTGTGCAGGTGCAGAGGTCAGTGCATGTGTAAAATAAAACAAGCTTCACCATCTCATTTCCAGCTACAAAACGTGCCGAGTCTGATGTACACGTGGGATATACATAGGTATTTACTCTAGGAGAGCAAGGCAGGATCATCACTTTCCCTAGCGCTAGCTACCATTTTTATTCTTGGGAGAAGTATTTGATTATTTTTTTTTTTTAATTCATCTGTAGCTCTTAAACAAACTGTTGGTGTTTTTCTTTTAGCAGAACTTCAAATTTCTGTTCCCCTCAGACATCTCTCTTTCAGTTTTTCTCCTAGTAGACTTTCAGAAAGTGTTGTATCCTCTGAGTGCCTTCTATATTCTACTCATCTCTTCTCTCAGTTGTTTATCTATAAAATTGACAAGTTAGTGGGGATTCAGGTGTGCACATAACAAGTGAAGTGTGTCATCTTTCCTAGGAGCCCTGTTGTTCTGGAGTTAGCTTTGCATTCACTTCAGCATTCCTTGCAGGCAGCCTTCAATTCATGTGGGCGGAGCACCAAATTCTGTACAGATCTGTAATGTGGAGAAGCTCAGTGATGTGACAGAGTGTGTAGGATTTGATTAAAAATGCTGTCACTTGCTTTGGTTTTGAAGGAGTTAAAATAATACTTACAGTAAGCCAGGAAATTTACCTAGGCTTTTGTTGTTCTTGTTTTGGGGTGGTTGACACAAATGGATTTGTGCAAGTTTTCCTTTAATGAGTTTTATGTGGTATTGCAGGGTAATATTAAACAAATCGGCAGCTTGTGTTTTAAGTGTCGCAAAAACGAGTATATTATCCTTTGGCTTGGGAGGTGTTTGTGGAGCGTGGCTGTCAAATGTTTCTCCTGCCTTTAGAACGCTATCTCCGGTGGAAACAGGGAACATGCACCTTTCCTGTGTGTCTGTGGTCTTCTGAGGCACTGAACTTGGTTGTTCTGTTAGTTGTCTATGTCCACGTGTGGTTCTTGAGTCCACGCTTTTTTTGGTGGTGGTTTAGTTCTGCCCTGGCGTAAGTGCATACAGCGGGTTTTATCAACTTGCTTTACTTAGAGCATGCATGTTTGCTAGCAGATGCTCTATGCAGCGGCGCGTACCAGGGGAGAGCCTCATATGGATTTATTGCATCTTCTCAGAAGGCGTGAGGAAAGCCTGTTTTAGAGGCCTTTTAGCTGCACCAGAGAAAATGTAAACATCTCTGCCAGAGGGGAACAGTGGCCAAGAGCAATATGAGAAAGGAGCAGTTTGTAGCCGACTATTTACTAGCTGCATCATTTTGTCTCACCTGGTTGTTTAATACAGCCTATATTTGAGTTGATGCCACTGTTCAACTTCATCAAGTCTTCCAGGCCATGTCTTTGTGGGCCTCTCTTCGTCTTCTTTTTCTTGGGTACAGGAATTTAGGAAGGAGAGGGGTGCACGTCACTGTTCGGTGGATGAGGAAGGATGAGAAGTGCTGAGCAGTTGCACTGGCTCTATTTCTTCCTCACTCCTCCCACCCTTGAAACAGGTTTGATTCCAGTGGAGTTTCTGGTTTACTGCTGTGCACTGCCTTGCTCAGGCTATGGCCATCAGAAAAATGTGAGGGTAATGAAGTGAGAAAGTTTGCAGCTCCAAGAATTGCTTGGGAGAGGCCTGTCAACGAGATCATTCATGATAAGATAAATAGGCAGGTGCTGTTGCCTGTGCTTGCTCTCTACAGGTGCTCCTAGGGCACACTAATACTAGACCATCCCTCTGTATGGATGGACAAAATTTATTTTTAAAGTAAGGCTCTCCAAATAACGAATGCTTGTTTGTTTTGCAGGGAAGGAGGGAAATGAGGACAAGTTTTATTCCGTCTCCAAAGGTCCTATCAAATCCAAGGTCACACTTTATCAAAAGAGATAGGCACTACCCCTGAACACATCTTAAGCAAGCGAAGTACCTAACTCTGTACTTGAGCGTTTGCTTCAAATTTGTTCTCCATTTTTTAGAAGTGATCTGGGAGTGTTCTAGTTCCTGAAAAAGTACTTTTTTCCTCATATTTGCGTTTTTAAGAGTGTCTTTAAAGGCACTCACCTCTTCCAAAAAGCTGAAGCATCTGTCTTCCTTTGAAGCTGGTACTGTCAGGTTCCAAAGCAGCACTGAAGATACGTGTAGGCACACAGGCTGTGTTGACCCCCAGTGTGGAGGAACAGTTGTCTACACTAACCATGTTTCAGGATTTTTTTCTTGGGACTGGCTTGAATCTGATCCTGTGGACGGAACTCCTATTAGTAGCTGGAGTGTGTCTTCTGGTGTCATTTTATCTGAAAGGAACCTGCGTCACGGTGTTTCAGAATGCTCTGCAAGGTTGTATCAGGATGCAGTAAGTAGAGGTGCTTGGGGAGGATTGTTTCTAAAGCAAGCTCCTGGTACAGAGTGAATCATTCACATCATTGTTTCTCTGGACAGCTAATACTTGCTGAAATCTTCAGATCTTTGTCTTTGAAAATAAATTTTTGTTTGGATAGTGAGATGGGTGTTAGAAGGCTACACTCAGAAATTCTGGGCTTGAAAATTTGTTTTTCCTGAAATGGGATTTGCCTTGTACAGGAGGTTACAAATAAGAGCCTTAAATGCTAGGGTTTCTGATTTTTGTGTCCAATTGTCCATTTGAGTAGTTAATAATCTGAAAAGTTGTCAGAGTACCTGCATTATTTAAGCACAAAGGCCATAAAGGACCAGATATAACTGGGCATAATTCAGCAGTGATTTCAGGCCATTTCTGACAATGTTATGAAATAATGTTGTTAGAATAAAACTAGAGCGATCGGTATTTTGTTGAGAGCATTGCTGCATATCCTCCTGTTGCATCACCCAGTTATTGCAAAGATGCCATTGTGCAATTTGGCATCCTAGGCAAGGTAAAGAATTTCAGCATTTCACTTGCCTTAGAAACTTTCCATGCTGAAATGTTGTTTAGCACAGTTCATCTTCCTGAGCAAACACTGCACACATGCACCTTATACAACACCGGACGGGCTCCTCCAATTAGCGTTTGTGCAGATCTGTAGCTATTTTAAGAGGAAAGACGTGGGTTAGGTGGAAAGAGATTGAAGAAGGCAAAAGGATTGCAGGAAGCGAGAAAAGGAGAAGGACTTTTCCCTCTGCTGGGGAGAACTGCCTCTGTAGTCACACTGTCCTGACCCTTCAAAATCCTTTGAACTGTGGTCTCCTGCTAGGACCAGGCTTAACATTTTTACAGGTGTTTATTTCCTTCACTTCCCTCCCTTTCTCAGATTTCTCCTCCCCCAGTTCTGGGTTAGAATAAGAATCTGTATAATTCTTACGCGATACAGCCTGGGACCGCTTTGGCAGTAGTACGTGATTGTTTTGGTTTTTTTCCAGAGGAAACATGTCTGACTGTGAACAACATTCTGGTTGTCCTAAAAGTGAGAGATTTCAGAATTTGACCTAATCTTGAGATAGCATCCGTTTGCTCTGACCAGAGCTTTCTGCAGCAGTGAGGTTACAAAAGTCTGGCTGTCCTGTCCTCTTATACTGGCCAGGATCTGAGCGTTTGATGGTATACTATGCTCCCACACTCAAGCAGATCCACAAGGTGAAGGAAAGCAGCGTTTAACAAAGCTGATTATTTTCTTATGATAGCTAATTGTTATTTTAGACTTATCTCCCCTCTAGCTGTGGCACTGCAAATAGATCTAAATACCATTTGTGTGCTCATCCCTCATAATGAGAGTTATCCTTCACAGATGGCTATATGCATGAATATTTGTCTGCATATACTGATTGTTAATAAATCACCTTAATTACTTTTATGGTTCCTGATCAGTATTGAAAAACTTTTTTCTTTTTTTTTCTGTACAGTGTATGAATGCCTCCCACATACAGTCATGCGTAGTATTTTAGCACCTTCATCCAGGCACTTCGGCTGTGCATGAGGAAGCAGGGAGGTTGCATGAGGATTTGGACATGTAGTCTGCTCTCAAAACTCAATCAAGATTATTTTATTGTAGCATCTGAAATGAAGGTTCAGGTCAAAGACTGCCATATTGCTAAGAGTTTAATATTTTGAGGCATGTGAGGTACTGTGAGAGTACATGAATGCCTGATTTATGCATCTACCATACAATTACAGTACCTAGATAGGCAATCTCTGCTATTTTTATACAATTATGAAAGGTGCTGAAAAGATTCCTATTCATATAGCTGACTCGAAATTTGAAACAGTAAGACAGAAATCCTCACCTCAGATTGTCTAGAAGACAACAAAGTAGCTGGAAAAAACTGGTAGTAGAAGATGTACTTGGGCACAAGACAGGCCATCTGCTCATTGATCTTAATAAGTGTTAATGTATTTAATTATAGATTCTCGGCACTGTGGGACATGTTGCAGCTGTTTTGATTCTGACCGAATGGTTTTTCCTGCATCTCTTTCGCGGTTTTGGTGATACTGTGCCAGTCTGCAATGTTCTAGGAGCATTGGTTGGAGAACATGGGATCTGGTAGTTCTGTAAATGCCAACTACAAGTACTCCCTGCAGAAGTCTGAAAATGGTGAGTGATTCTTTGAAAAGTAAACTTTTCCCATCCGCTCCTGCACATGCCCTTGGGAGGCTGCAGTGGATGTGTTTCTTTTCTGAGTTACCTGGTTTTCTTCATAGCATTGAGGCAAGGTTATGTCTTTCAATATCCTGTGACAAGGAGTCTCAGCTGTCAGGCAGAAGACCCACAGGCTTGAGAAAATAACAGCTGTTTAGACCAGGATTAGATTAAATTCAACCAAAACCTGACCAGGAATGAAGCGGCAAAAAGCAATTCCATTTGTTAAAATTAACATCTGATGGATTAATCAGTTGCTGGCTAATGCGTGTGTTGTCACGTGCTGACAGGGAGATGATAGATGGTATCATCCTGCTGCTTCTGGTGGACTCCGTTTTTAAAGACTGTGTTAGCGGTGCAGGACTGATAAAGCAGAAGCATTAGCAAAGCCAAATATATCTGGTTCTAAAGAAGGTAAGATGGTGTGGCTAAGAAAAGCTGAAGAGCAAGAAGTGTGCTTTTTTTCCTAATTATGTCAGTGCAATGCTCTTAATCTCTGCTAATAATCCTGACTTTTTTATGGCTCTCGAAGCTGTAATGATTTATTTTTATGAAAACCTCGGTATGATAGTATCAATTTTTTGGGTGTGCGCTTAGGTTGGCTATGGAACAAAGGGAGTTTATGAGTGAGACTGTACACATAAGGAAGTGTAAAAAAGTAAACAGATTACTTTGCTGTTTGAATCATTCAGTCATCAGCACTGGCAGAACAGCAGTATGGTGCAAACTGTTTGCAAGTGCTTTGAAAGGAAAAATAGTGATTGCATTTAGAAGTGTGGAAAGCAGGGATACCGTTGTGACTCAGCCTTTTTTGTTTGTAATTTTTCCTTGTTGAAAACCTCCCACCTTTTTTTTAAGTAAGTTAGACTTGTCTATTGCCTGTAGCACCAGAGTACCATGGACTTCCCCACAAAGTTCAGGGCTATTTTATGATAATGGCTTGTCTATAACAAACAAAGTGTAACATAAAACTAGTTACTTATTTGAAACTCTGCATTAGATCTTATACCTCATCAACAGTTTCCCATGAGAGTAAAACCTCTCTGAATTTCTTGAATCTGGTTCTCAAAATCCTTCAGATCTGCTGATCTGGAGCTAATTAGGACTGTCCACCCAAGTATAACGTGCCAGGCCGTGTCCTGTCTGCCTTGTACAAGGCCCAGAGGCTGTTCCCGATGGAAAGTGTAGCCAGCAGAGCTCTGTTAAATCAGCCCTGCACTTGAGTGAAGAACGGGATGCGGAATCCAAGAGAGGGTGCAGACTCCCTGTAAGCTGATGTGTCAACTATATTGCTAGCGTGAACAGGCATGTTTTAGTTTGAGTGCTGCCACTTTGGCATGCTTTCAGTAGCTTACATGGTGATGTATGATTCAGTTTACTGCTTGGATCTTCATAAAATGCAGATAAATATCTTTCTTTTCCTTTTTTATTATTTTTTTCTAAACTAATACAAACACTGCCAGATGAAATTCACCCAGGTAAGCTGGTAAATTAGAATACCTGGCTTTTTCAGTTGCAGAGTCAGTCTCTGTAAAAGTAGTGTAAAAAACCAATGCCTTGCCCATCTGGAACTTAAAATGCTGTAGATGGGGGTATCTATGCTCTCTGTGCGCTTGATAACAAGTCCTTCATAGATTTTATTTTTAATGTTTCAAAGGATCTTGTTTTCATCAGTATATGTGGAGTTGTAACTATGAATTTCTGCTTGGGATTCAGTTGAAATACATCTGATCCTTACTGCAGTAACTGGACATTTATCCACTGCTAACAGAATGCAAGATATTTAGAAGTTTTTTATTTAGAGAGTGATTGTGACTGTGATTCTGGTTACATGCTAGCCAAATTACTGTACAGGGAGTAAGGCAGCTAGTGTTGGGTCTGTTATAAAGGAGGCTTGAAGAGGTAGCATCAGGAGCACCAAACTGCAGGGAAAAAAGTCAGCCTTTTTTATTTTTTCATGGCCCAGCAGATCAGTAAGCATTTTTTCAACAAGATATAAGGCTCAGGCAAAGAATACTTAAGTTGTTCTTGAATTAAGGCTAGCCAAGTCTTACCTTCTTGCCCATGACTTCACCGTGACTCAGTTCCTCAGCTGCACAACAGCAACAGCTCTTCCCTTTTTGCGCTCTGCAGCTCCTAGTGCTGTAACAGTAAGATAATTTAGAAGGATTATTATTTTCAGTACGTAAACCATCAGGATATCTTATTTAGGTAAAGGTCAATGTTTCCTGCTGAAGTACATGAAGGGTGGTTTATGTTACATAATTAATGCAAGCTAATTGAATTAATGTGATCTCTTTGTCTCTTGCCAGCACTTAGCAACCTTTGGGGTAAGGGTGGGGGATTTCCTTCCTTTTATAAAGTTTTTTCCACCCCCCACACCCCATTACTCTCCCTGCTTTGGTGAATGTGGTAGTGCTCTCTCACAAACCAGATGCCAAGGGAATATGAGCTTCTGCAGCAGGGCTAACCCTGTAACTGTTGTCTCCATTTGATTCTGGGGCCAGCCTGTAGACAGAGCAGTCATCCCTCCCTCCCTCAGCTAAAGATGACACAGAGAAGCATCGTTAGAAAATGTTTTAAGCATAGGGCTCTAGGGTAGGGCTCCAGAAATGAACAGGAAGGGACACGGAGCATAATCAAAAGGAGATGCCAAGTAGCAGAGCTGGTTGGCAAGGTGCCGTAAAGTAACCAGGCGGTCCAAATGGGGTCAAAACCAGCTAAGGAGGATGAAATTGTTTCTAGAGGTACATAAAGTTATGTGACAGAACTTGAAAGAGGAAATGGGAAACTGCACCAATGTACTTCACTGTAAATATGCACACACACATCTGAAATAATCTTTTAATGAAAAACACTGGAATTGGGGAAATGCAGAGGAATGGTTATGTTTTAAAGATCAGGGCGAATAGGCATCGTTTGGAGGGAAGAGCCTGGTGCCAGTTCTGGCTGTGGATTGAACCACGACCCGGCACCTGGAAATTCCTTGCATTTTGTTCCTTCTGTGTCATTAAGTGGCCAAAGATCTGTCTCCCTCTTTTCGCTGTGGGTGTTGATTTTGTCTTTATTTTATTCCAAAATAATGGTATGTTAACATTTATGCTAGAATAGATCCCTTCTGAAGTTTGTCCAGAACTGCAAAAGCTGAGGTATTTATTTGGATTCAAGGAAGGTAGACAAACCCCATATTTTTAAGGCTCCGGAGGGGGACTTGGTGTCTTGTTTTACCCCAACTCCTTGTGTGGCCTCAGTCATATCTCTGGTTTCCTGAAGCCCCAGTACCTAGGACTGTAAGACGGACAGGAAAATAATCAAGATAAATAGAAAGGGAGAAAATTGTTTATTAATACTGAAGAACATGTTTGGATCTCTAGGCCGTAACAGGTTGTTGTTAACTCTGGTGGTGAGGAGCCAGCAGTGATGGTTAGAAGTGCTTCAGAGGTCTCTGGTCAGGCAGGGTCAGATCAGCCTCTTGCAATATGGTGAAAAGCAGCAGGTGTTTTGTTATCCTTAGTATTTAGGCATCAGAACACCTTTCCTGAAAACTTGCTCCTGAAAAAGAAGGACACTCTTCAATTTTCAGGGTCGGGAAAGGAGTGGTAGCAGGGTACCTCAGCTGCAGCCACTGCAGCTCAGCAGGTTGGTCCTGTTTTTTTCCCCTAGCTTTCAAGGCAGCTGTCTTGATCCAACAGTGGTATCGGCGCTACGTTGCTCGGCTGGAAATGCGCCGACGTTGCACCTGGAGAATCTTTCAATCCATTGAGTACGCTTGCGAGCAGGATCAAATCAAGGTAAGGTGCCAAGGAAAAGAGTATGTAGGAAAATACATAGGAGGGTGGTTTCTGTGCCACAGACTCGCTTGTTTCTGGCTACTGGCTAGTAATCCTGTAAGTGCTTCAGTGGGCCAAGGACTGGGTTTTCTGCCCATTTTTAGCCTATCGATTTCCTGCCTGTTTATGGCTGATGAAACCCTAAGTAACGAGTCTTGAAAGAAAGCCGTAAGGACCATTTAACATTGTTTTTCCTGAGTCTGAACACAACAGGCAAGCCTAGTTGGTTTGTTATACTTTAACTTCGATTAATATTCTCTTATATGGTTGTCTTGCTGTTAGGCGGGGAGAGGGAGGACTTATAGGTGTACTTCTGCCTGTATGGCTGAAGGTAAAGCCACTTTTTTGACTTCATCACAAGATATTAAAAACTAGAATTGGTATAGTATGAGAGGGGCATAGATAATACTTCCAGAAAGAAGAATCATGTTAAGTTGCCACTCTGCAGAATTTCATTCCAAGGTGAATGATGATGGGCTCTCTCTCTTCTTGCAGCTTCACAACTTCTTCAGTTACCTTATGGACCACTTCACGCCAAGCAGCAGTAAAGAGAGTAAGTTTCTATGTGCCGTTTGTAGATGTGGCACCAGCAGCTCAGAAGGTTGCACCCTGTATTGATTCTTTGCCCATTGCTCGTCCTTTAGGATGGCAAAGGGGGCCAAGAGAGTCTAAAGAGCAACGGCATCAGGAATTTGGATAGGGAGTGAATTGTCTGGAGACTGCCAGAGCTTTGTGAGGGATGTGAGGCAATTCCTGCTCCTTAGGAGCTGGAAGGGGGAATAAAAGCGCAGTATGGTTTTTTTAAGAGCAGTATTAGAAATCTGCCTTTTTTCAGTGATTCCTGGTGACCAGGGCTTTGCAGAGCCCATTTCTGAAGTGAGAGAATCCATCTTTAGTGAACTGTGCTCTAGGGTATCTACTTTATTTATATTTAGTCTCTCACTTAGGGGGGGGGGGAGGAAGTGCTGTGGGAACCAATACAGTATTTTCCTGCATCAGCGGAGAGCATTATATGTTATTTCTTAGCGCTGGGAACTTGCTAATGAGCTTAGCTCTGAAATCTGATGGTAGTAAGTCAAAATTAGCTATTTCCTTTGCTGACCATAACCTGCTGAAGTCCTCGGTCCTTCCTTTCAAACTGCCACCCTTTTTCTCAAAACCACCCCATGTATTTTACCACAAAGCTCTGTTGAAGAAGATTTTTTTTTTAGTGTCTGTATAAAACAGGACAATAATGTCCTGTTCCTTGAGTTGGGCTCTGAGATGTTACAGCAATAAAAAAATAATGTGTATTTATAAAAATTTTGTGCAACACTGAGAATGTAGGTGCAAGCTTAGAAAAAATTAGAAGACAGTTCCTTATTATACAGTTTGCTTTTGCATGTCATTGAAAATAAGACTTCAGTTAGCCACGGCAACCAGTGTCCATCTGGCTTCACCAGATTTTTGGAGAAACTAGCATAGCTGCCAGCACTGCCTGACACGTAGCACATCGAAACTTGTCCCTGCAGACTCTTCCCCCCTGCAAATTCTGTAGCGGTGTCAAACTAGCAGCTAGCCTCTGCTGCTGCCATGAGCTCTAGCCTAACCAAACAGCTTTTTATTTAGCAAATTACTAGAATGGTGTATTGAAACAACTTAACTTTTTCTTGTTTCTTTCTCTTTAAAAAAACCCAAACAATCAAACCGACCAATCTGCCATCCAGGGGATTTTATCAGTCGGATGTTCATAAGTGGGGAAAGCTTCAAAGAGGCAGAGCTGGAAAAATACTGTGACTATGAATCCCTGGAGGTGCCAGACTCCTACACTGGACCCCATCTCTCTTTCCCACTCCTTCCTGACCATGCAACTGCCTTGCTGGAAGCTTTCAAACAGAAACAAGTAAGGATCCGAAAAGGAACCATGCTTTCCTCTTCTCTGCACAGGGGTGTAGGACAGATATTTGGTTTAGCCTTCATAACAAGCTAAGTTGATTGGAGTATAAAGAGCTGGCAGGCTGTTAAGCAAAGGGGGATGGAAATGATATGGTGTTTCCCCCTGCCATAGGAACTTCTTTCCTTTTTGAAAATGCATTTCTGACAAAACTGAAAACTCTTTGTTGGTGTGTGCCGATATTAACCTGAATTTCATTTTAAAAGGAAAAAAACCCACAACAGTCCATGTTGAAATATTCTGTCATTTTTCGTTGCAGTTCCTCAATTTGTAAAAATGTATAGAATGGCCCAGATGGAAACAGCTGATTAAAATTATGTTTTGTGCCACACAACTTTGACTCATATTTAAAATGTAAAATGTGAGGTTTTTGATGAGGAAGTCCAGCACCAATTCAGCAGCCCTAAGAAGCCAAGTCCTTGTACAACTGCAGTGTTCTGCTGCCATCCCTCAGTCAAGGTGCTGAACTGCAAAATAGGCCAAAACATCCCTTCTCCAAACAAAACGACTTCTAAAACAAAGGTCTTTAGTGTCTTGACTAATATTAAATGCCTACACCCCGGCTTTGAGTGAATATATTTCTGCAGAACACATCGCAGCTCAGGGCCTGCCTTAATGTGGAGAAGGCTAAGATCTAGAGGAGCAACTTCTTACCTGTGATACTGGGCTGGAATTTCTGCTGCTCTAGGAGGTGGTGTTTGCCCAGCAGATATAGCCTTAACGACAGGGTGCTAGGGCTTTTTGGTTCTCTTGCCAGCCCTGCCAGTGTCAAGGCCGGGCTGCTTTTGGTGAGTCTCTTCCATCCTGCTGTTCCCCAGTATTTGCCTCATCTTGTTTGCAAGCCCATAGGTCAGCACCGAGTGTCATCCCAGTGAGACTTTGTGCCATCCAGGCTATCATGGTGGGTCCTTGGGGCCTTTGCAGACAGAGCTGCATTGCTGCTCAGAGGTCACTGATTTCCTGCTTTAATCCCTTCGCTTTCTCCTAGTAGCAGCTCCACGCTCGCTATCTCTTAAACCTTCTGCATGAGACCAGGAAGCACCTCAAGCAGTTGCCAAACATCAGTCATGTCTCCACCTGCTACAGCGAGGAGATCACCGTGTGCGGTACGTCTGGGTGGGAGGGCACTGCACAGTCTCTGGGACAGAACGCTCACATGAAAGGGGTGGGAAAGATATAAAGTGGTAGCATTACCATGATGTCCTCCTCTGTACTGTGTGTGGAACACAAATGCAGTCTATAAGGAAAATGTGTGTTGTGTTGAGAGGCAGCTGGGGCTGTCTAAAATATCCGGGTTTACCCTGTGATGCTGTATGATGTGAGCTGCTCCGAAGACTACCCTGGAGACTGGAGGGAGCAAGTCTGCATCATGGCCCTATTTCTGCTTGGTCTGGAACGGGATGGGGGTGTTGAGGGAAGGTGGTTTGTCTCTTCGTAGCATGCCTTTGGCTTCCCTGAGATATTTTGGAATACGTCATTAACAAACCCTGCCCCTAGATGGTAGCATTCAGTTTGGCTTATCCTGCTGTAGCAGTGGTGATGTCACGGTGATTATAAAAATGCAAGGATAGGAGGAGGTATGGATAGAAAAGATAAGGATATACATTTGTCTAAGGGAAGACGAAGGGTGGTAATGATGGCCTGTCACTCTTAAAATTCTTATACATTACAGCAAAGATTTAAAGAATTTTTCAACTGGAATTCAAATTTGTCTTTGTTCTGTCACCCCAACCTTGGAGTCCTTTTACCAAACTACAAAAACTGCACCCAGTCCAGGACTGGCCTCAAACTCATTCATTTTCTGTCCTGTTTTGTGGCCTGGGATTATTTAAACAATGAAGTCCTGGAGCTGTTTTGGCTGAGTCTTCATTACCAGCAGCATATGCATTCAGATCCAAAATACTAACACATCTTTGTATCCTATCAAGTAAATTTGAAAGCTTTTCACCATTACTTTCCTACTAGGAAAACAGGACTAATGTTTAAACTTTGAGATATTTCTGAAAAATGTGTACTTAGCATAGACTTTTACATGCAGTCACCTTCTGGAAAACAAACCTCTCTCTCCAATATCACTTTAAATGATAATTTAGTTTGATTATTATTTTGTATGCAAAGCTTTCTCCCATGTAATGATCAAAGTCAAAAAGTGTCTTCTGTCATGTTGTGTCACCCTAAGAGATAAATGAACAAAGCTTCTGAATCAGAGTCTTCAGAAGCTGGTGTTGGCTTTTTGCTGTCCTTCTCAGGCTTCAGCTCAAGCCCTTACATCATGTCCTTTTCCTTCAGGCACATTGCCTTAGTGTAAGGAAACTTGTACCTTGAACTTCCCAAAATATTTCAGTAGTCATTGATTTATAGAGCAGATACTTCACAGGAAGCTATTTATTGGTGTGTTTTTACGTTAAAGGTAAACATAGTGTGACTTTTCTTTTTGTGCCTGTTAGGAGACTTGCACGGCCAGCTGGATGACTTGTTCCTCATATTTTATAAGGTAGGCACCTTATTTGGAGAGGGAGGCTGGCCAGGCATCGTGAGAAGTATCACATGGGTCATGCTGAGAAGCGTTTGCAAAATCTGGCCCTTCACATGTTGTGTGATTCTTCAGGTAGATTCGATCGGTTTTAAACGGCTTCACAAAGCAGCAGCTTATTCTCTTGCTGACTTTGAAATCTGATATACATGTACATTTCGGAAGTGCCAGTGGACATTTTTGTAAGCGCTGATACCAATGGCAACCCTTCCTGACTGCCAGCTTTCACTTTTCAGTGCATTTGCCACTGGGACCCTACAGGATAAAAATAAAAGAGTCAGGGTCTATTGTACAAGGTAACCTGGGACAGGAGTGAGACAATGTGCAGCTGCCGGGGGGAGGTATATGGAGATCACTGGGAGGCCTCTCTTGTAACATCTGCCTGTTCCTTGCTTTTACAGAATGGCCTTCCTTCTCCTTCCAAGTCCTACGTGTTCAATGGGGACTTTGTAGACAGAGGCAAACAGTCCCTCGAGATCCTCATTGTCCTCTTTACCTTCCTCTTGATCTATCCAAAGGAGGTTCATCTCAACCGCGGGAACCATGAGGACCACATGGTCAATTTACGGTATGGGTTCTGTGTGGGGCTGATCGCGATGTCAGGGGTGTCACTGCGAAATCCCACTGAACTTCCTTTCTCCTGTTCCTTTAGTTATGGTTTCACCAAGGAAGTAATGCAGAAATACAAGGTAGGCCTATGTTTGTGTCTCCTTTACCACGTGAGACGTGGACTTTGAAGGCTTGATGCTTCATCTTTTCCTTTCTGACCTGTCCTTCTAGGTGCATGGGAAGAAAATCTTGAAGATGATTCAGAATGTCTTCTGCTGGCTGCCCCTGGCCACCCTGATTGATCAGAAAGTCCTCATTATACACGGGGGCATCTCTGATACCACTGACCTGGACATGCTTGAGAAAATTCAAAGGAACAAAGTAGGTTTTATTACCTAGATATTGCAAGAAACAGCAGTGTTGCTGATTTGTGGTGAGGAGCTTATTTCTACATGTCAGCTTGGCTGTTGATAAGACAAATCTAAAGGATGGTCTTCCTAGACAAACCGCGTTTAGTCACAGGCTTGGAGTGGATTGCTTTGGTTTAATAGTGTGTGTGCATGACGTGTGAAGGGAAGAAGCATTCTTGGCTTCTGGAAGATATAAGGATAGTAGCCAGGGAAGTAGGGGGCAAGGGCATGGGTAAATAAGATGTGCTGGTGCTGACTGTAAAAACACAGAGATGATGAGACTTTGGCCCACAGTTCCTTAGCCTGTTTTTCCCCTAGATTTCCAGAAGGATTTTGATAAGTCATTTAACTTGTCTCTGCCTCGCTTTCTAGTGGAGAAATACTACTTCCTTTCTCCAAATGCAATGACAAGCACCGCATTAGTCATTAGTCCTTCCCTCATTCTGCCGCCCAGTTCCCGTTGCAGTGTCTGAGCAGCAAAAAGTCAACGAAGAAGAGATAGATCTGTAGTCAGGATGGATGTGGGGCCCCAGCTGTAAACCAAGAATGGCACATCCGAGAGGATGGCACTAGTAATCTCCCACAATTAATCAGCATTTGACAGCAGCAAAGGGAATTGAGGCTCGGAAGCTTGGGTCACTTGACGGTCTGCCAATGGAAGATGTTAGAGCTGGAGATGTAGGTTTCCAAGTGGTGTGACCAGCTCTCTTTTCTCTCTTTCCTCTTTCAGTTTGTTTCTGTATTAAGAGGGAAGAAAAGAAAGGAGTCGAATAGAAATGTGGAAATACAGGAATTAAACGGGGAGAGCAAAGTAGAGGCTGACCCAGCAGGGAACGAGGCAGCCCCCAGTTTATCTCTGCAGCCCCAGCCGGCCCAGGCTCCCAGCATGGCCAACAGGCTGGAGTTTTCCAAGTGGGTCCGGCAGACAGTACAGGAGCAAATCGAGTGGTGCCGCCGGCTGGTGGACATCAGCGAGTCGGAGCCGGAGGAGCTCACCTACTCCAGCGTGGTCTCCTTGACGGACTTGGATGGGCCGTGCTGGACTCGCCAGGACGAGTGGAAGCAGGTGAGCAGTCTAAGCGGGGCCCTGAGCTCGGTGGGCTGTGGGCCTCCTGCAGGTTTGCTCTCTGTTATGAGGAATCTCAGTACAAAATACACGGCTTAGTGCACAGACCTCTCTGCAGAGATTTTTGCTGCTTCACATAGTGGAGTTAAGGAGCAACTCAAGTGTTGAAGTGCCAGTGGGCAGCCTAATGGGGTTTGTGCTATTTTGTACCTACTGCTCTGTAACCCAAGACAGCCTGGCGTCAATCATTCAGTGGTAAGCCGTCAGGAAGGGCTGTACTGTGAGCTCATGATTGATCACTGCTGCTTGGGGATGTTTCGTTAGATATCTGCACTACATCCAGCCCATCCTGCAGCACGGTTCCCTAGCAATTGAAGAGCTGCGCACGAGAGTCATGTAGGAGAACGTAGGCTGTGTGCAAGACTGGCGCTAGCTGCTGTTCTGCTGGGGCCTTTCTCCTACCCTTGTGAGTCAGCCTCTTCACTGGGCTTTTGGCCTTCTGTGCTTAAGGCTCTGTCCCAGCATTTGCTCCTACCACAGCACTCATCTGTTGTTGTACAAATAAAATTGCTGCTTAGGCATAGAGTGGGGCAACAGGTTTTCTTGGTTCACTGCAGGGGAGAGAAATAATAGACAAGACTGATGGTAGAGCCCAGTGGTTATATGGGTTATCTGAAGTCAGCTCTGTAGGTAATGAATGAGCACGTCATTCGCTAATGAGTGAGTGGTGATCTTGGGTACTAAGAGCAGACTGAATTTGTGGTTTTAACTAGGCTGCACTGTGAGTAGATTGCTAGGCAGGTCAGAGCCTGGGAACTTGGTTTCCTATTTGTGTTAGACCAGTCTGTCTGTAAGCCCCTTCTGTGCACTCTGAAACCATTGTTACTTCATGTTACATATGACATCCTGGCATTGCACACCTTATCAGCATAAAGCTATATATTGAGGTCAGGGTTAAAGAGATTAAACTTTAATCCAAATAGTGGTTACTGAGTCAGCACTTACATTTCTGGAGGCTGCGGAATGTCCTGGCTAGAAAGCAAAGGAGTTTAATACTAAGCTGGCTCATGGCCTCAGGATCTGCTGGGTGTTCTTGCCCTGGGACCTGGTTTGGGATGGAGGAGGACAGGCAAGGCTCTGTAATCTTTGAGGCAGCGAAGGGAAGGTTTGTATCAATCAGGCTTGATTTATGGACACCCCTCTTCCCCCAGGCACTTTGGGTGTCCCTGTAGCTCCAGGCCAACAATACTGCCACCTCTGTGGTGGACCAGGCCTGTGACAGTCCTGTGGAGAAGTATGGTGGTTCAGTTGGG